GGATCTCGTGGAATGGGCCCACATTTATACGACGTCGTTTTAGTTTTGGATCTCGTGGAACGTTTGGTTGCAGGAGTAGAATTGTTCTATTTGTGGATAGATTCAGATTTAAAGTGGATAGTCTTCGTGTCATCATCATCTTCGAGTGTGGATATACACTAATCAACAAGAGAATCAGATATTTTTCCGATCCCGATACAGGCAGATTCCGAGTAGCTCATGGCGTCACCATCTGATCATACGGCGAAGATAATTGACGGGAAGGCGATTGCTCAGACCATCCGATCAGAGATCGCCGAGGAAGTTCGTGATCTATCTGAGAAACACGGCAAGGTAGTCTGAGTTCATTTCATGGTTTAAGCACTGTTTGGGACACAAAATATACGTTTTTCTGTTGTGCAGAATCATTGTCTTAATCTTGATATGTATCTCTGTTTAATTCTCCGTTCTCTTCTAAGCAAAGCGTGATTGATCATAAGTGATGATAGGAACTCTGGAATTTTACTCTGTTTTAGCTTTAGTGTTCTATATGCGTAAATTTAGGCAGCTATGATCACAGCCTTCTATTGAGAAAGCTTAACAAGCTCAATTGTGAGCTTTGAATCAATGAAAATTGCTTCTGCGTTGGTTACTTCCTAGTTTGAGGAAGATTTTTTGCGTTTGGTTCACAAAAGTTGCTTTTTATGTGGACTCTTTTCAGTTTTCTCTTGTTTTGCTGGATCTTTGACATGCCTGCATTACTTCAAGTAGCATACTATCTGTCTAACTATCAATACAGATGTTGAATTAAGTTTATATGGTTCAATATCATTGCGATAGAGCAGAAGGGAAGAGAAAATGTAATGAATGGTTGAATTTGTTTCTTCATATGCTTCAACTGAACACCTATATACAGTTTCAAGAACGCAGAAGAAACAATCGAGTCTGATTTTACCATCATGCAGGTCCCAGGACTAGCGGTAGTTATAGTTGGGAATCGAAAGGATTCACAGACCTATGTGAATACGAAGAGGAAAGCATGCGCTGAGGTTGGGATTAAGTCATTTGATGCAGACCTACCAGAGGATGTTGGTGAAGCTGATCTTATAAGCAAAGTTCATCAACTAAATTCGGATCCGGATGTCCACGGTTAAGTGTGCTGTTAATAATGTTTAATTTTGTATGCCTTTAGTTATCATTAATATAAATGATGAAGAATAGATGAGAACTTTATTGTCTATCTAGGTCTGTCGTTTTGGTAAATGCGAAAATTCCTTTCTCTCATGCTCTTATATAAGCTTTGGTACTTTATTTGCAGGTATATTAGTTCAACTTCCATTGCCAAAACATATTAATGAGGAGAATGTTTTGGGAGCAATCAGCATTGATAAAGATGTCGATGGCTTCCATCCTTTGAATATTGGTAAGCTAGCCATGAAAGGCAGAGAACCCCTCTTCCTTCCTTGCACCCCAAAGGTACTGCTGCTTCTTCGTATACAGTTTCAGTCTCTTTCAAGAATTTGTTTCCTTGAGTTTTTTCTTCTGGGTCATCACTGATTTGCTGTTTGCAGGGATGTTTGGAACTCTTAGCAAGAAGCGGCATAAAGATAAAGGGGCAACGCTCAGTTGTTGTAGGTCGGAGTAACATTGTTGGATTGCCAGTTTCACTTCTATTGCTCAAGGCTGATGCTACTGTTACAATTGTACATTCTCACACCAAGGATCCCGAGGCTATCATACGGGAAGCTGATATCGTTATTGCTGCAGCCGGGCAAGCCTGCATGGTATTTTAGATGTCTTCCAGTCTACCTTCTGTGGTTTATGCGAATAGTATAATGAAAACATTCTTGTCTAAACATTTCAGATTAAGGGTGACTGGATAAAGCCAGGGGCAGCAATAATCGATGTTGGAACTAATGCAGTCAGTGACACGAGCAGGAAATCAGGATACCGTTTGGTTGGAGATGTGGATTTCGCAGAAGCTTCTAAAGTTGCAGGTTTCATAACTCCAGTCCCTGGTGGTGTAGGCCCAATGACAGTGGCAATGCTTCTCAGGAACACCTTAGACAGTGCCAAGCGGACCTTTGGCCAGTAAAATACCCTACTGTATGTAATAAAGAAACCGGAGTTTCTCCAGTTCTATAATTGTATTGGTTTGATGACATTTTCCTCTCGAAGAAATTGAAATTGGCGTACCCTTTGAATTACTTTGTTTTGAAACTAGTTTAGAATGTATATTTCTCACTAATCAGCACAAAATTGGCAACAATTTAATCAAGAATCTGATGATTACATCTGTAATTTTCTTGTCTGCATTCATTCAAGATCGTTGATATTCATTCAAAATCTTAAGCGTATATGACCCATTACATTAAAGACTATTCAACACAGTGCAGTTATCAGATCTTGTATGCTCAAGGTATGGAAAATTCCCAAGTACATGGGATGCTAAACGCGATATGGAAACTCTCGCCTAGTGTAGACGCTCTGAGTCTGTCTGAAATAGTTTACAGTAGATATCCTGCATGCCCTCGACAATGGCAGAAGCATTCCAAATGAACTTTTCATGCTTTCTGCTGTTAAAAAAAGAAGAGAAAATGCTTTGTAAGTACAAAGAATAATGCAAGAAATAAAAGGCGAAGAAAGTAACTAAACTGTGAAATCCAAACCTGCACTGGAAGATACAGCTTGAATTCCGGAGGAAGCTCCTCCTCTGAGTAGAGACGGTCAGCAAAATATATCCGCCTGAGACGGCAGTTAGCATGAATCTGAACTCGTAATGTCTCAGCATAATTAGTCCCGTAAGCTCTCCTAGTAAGATCAGCTAAGTTCAGCTGGATTTGATTCCATCCATCATCCATCTTCAGTGGCATTGTGCATATATATGGCTTTACTCTAGTGACAGACTAC